TGGTTGGGGGGGAGACTCCCCCTCGCCTACAGGAAGCCATGACCACGTGTCACAGCAGGGAAAATGGCCGCGGGTCGTGTTCGTCACCCGATGCGGAGTTCGCGAACAGAAGCAAAATTTTGCGAATGGTGCTGTTCATGAACCGGATTGTTCGTGAACAGAAGCGTTCGTGAACCAAGGTATTACTGTAGTAAGCGTTATATGGCGATATGTCTGTAGTGGTATGAGTACAGTGGATTTCTGGGAAAGGGATGTTATCTAATAACTAATGGTATGGAAGTTAGAACATTTGAGGTGCAAGGATATATAAGTGTGCTACTTTTATGGCATCAAATGTAAGACAGTTCAAAAGCTGTTTTAGGAGAAGTGGTTCCTCTTTCAGCAACAAAAAATCCAGTCTGGCCTATTCCTAAAGGGTCTCTTTGGTTCAACAGCACTAAAAAGAATTGGGGCAGCATGTTTTTGAAGGCTTGCTTTGGTTCTCTCTAATGCAGCCTCCCCAGTTGGCAAGTGCCAGATGTATTGGATCCGGACTCACATCATTCCCACCCAGCATCCTGCCTTGGAATTAATGAGGCTTGAAATCTAATCCCTCTACAGGTTATTAAGTTGAGGAAGCTTGTTCCACACTCACAATCATCTTTCTGCTTTATGGATTATCTTTTGTCTCTAGATATTATACACAAGTTTATCCGAGACAAATACTCTAAGCGATTCCCAGAACTAGAATCCCTTGTTCCCAATGCTCTGGACTACATCCGAACTGTTAAGGTATTGTGCTTATTCTTAAAATATGTGAAGTTCATTCTTCAGTTTACTGTCATGACTACCACAAGTGCCTGCCCTCTGGAATGAGTTCCCCCCAAGATCCCAGTGGCCCCCACTCTACTATTGTTTAAAAGAGCTGTGAAGACCTGGCTCTTCACCCAGGCCTTCAGTGAAGGAGAATAAAACCCCTCACTTCATCACACTTGTCATCGTGTATCTTTATTTTTTATTGTTTCTATTGATGTTTCTTTGCTTGATTGTTGTGAGCCGCCCAGAGTCACTGAGAGTCGGGTGCCATACAAGTTTAATCTATTATTATTATTACCAGCATCATCCATAGCATCTCTGCATTCTCAGCAATCAAAACCCATTGGTTACTTTTGTTACCGATTCACTGGGCTTTATGGCCATATAAGAATTTGCATCTAGGTTTCCTGGATTGAAACTGAGTACTTTCGTTCATCCTTCCATTATCTGGTATCTTCCAGATATGTTAAACAAGCCAAAGCCAGTATTGCTCCCATTCTAAGAGCTGTGATTCAGTACATACGGAGGGAATAAAATACAGAAATAGAGAATACAGGTGCAGGAAATGTAGGTGCTAATCCTTATTCAGTCACAGAACTTAGTTTTATCTTCCAGTATATAGAAAGATAAAAATGAGAACACTAAAATTTGTTTCTCTGAAATATTTTTTAGCCTTTGTTTTCAGCCAAATATGCACTCTAAACTTAAAAAGATTACTAAGATTGCCCCTCAGGCTGGCTGTGCAGAAGGCATGACAAAAGGAATGGGGAAGGATGAGAAAAAAAACAGACTCTGCTCTTAGTTGCTAAAGTTGAAGGAAGCATCTTGTAGTGCTGCACCTTTGGCAAGGAAGAGGCTGGTGGGTTAGATAATATTCTATAGAGAATAGAAATAGAATATGGAGAATAGAGAATTCAGTCTCTCTGTGGTCCTTGGTTCATGGATTAATTAACAAATCCAGAACATGCTTATCTTTCAACTCCTCAGTTCTTGAGGGCCTGACATTTTGAAATTGGATGAAGTATCTGTGGTGCTTCTCACAGTGCCTTTCAGCCCAGCATGTATTTGTACAAAGATTCCTGGTCATTGTCAAAAGCTAACCTCTCCTTCAAATGTCGGACTTTTGCAGGAACTGGGCAACAGTTTGGACAAATGCAAGAACAATGAGAACCTTCAACAGATCCTTACCAATGCCACAATCATGGTGGTCAGTGTCACGGCATCCACCACCCAGGGGTAAGGTGGGCCCTCTGTGAAAACAGAGGGGAGGATTTAGAAGGGATGTGGGAGATCAGCTCCAGAAAGGGACTGGGGCTAAATCCACACACGGGGCCAAAAAAACCCCAAAACAACAGATTGTACCACTCCCGACTGAAAGTGAGAAATTCCTTTAATTTTTCTTAAATCTTTGCACATTAAGGGAAAAGATCTTGTCCCAGCCATCTTCTCTTTGGTGTGCTTTTTTTTTCTTCCTCTGAGAGAAGAGGGCTCTTAGGTGTTTAAAAAAGCATCTCACTTCTGCAGTCAAGAGGAGCACTACTCATTCTTGTGACATCACAGGTTAACCATCACAGTAGTTTTCCATTAGAGGATTCTATGTTCTGTGTGATGTGTGAAAAAGTGCTGTAGTCCAAATGAAAGTGTGGGTTTTCTGGTGATGCTTGTACATTGATGTCTGACAATCATTACTGTCTGACTATATTTGAGAGAGGGCAGGGAGACAGGAAAGGTGTGCATCTAGCTTTTTTTTTTTTTTTAGCACACTTCAGGACAGAAATAATAGTGTTAGCATAATTCAGATATTCTTGATGCAGCTTGCTTGCATGACTGAAGATCCAAAGGAAGGGAGAAAAACATTATTTATTATCTCTGCCCTTACTCATGTTCCTGAATCCTGCAAATTCTGAAAAGTGCTTTTTGTCTCTAAATTTCATTTGATCACTCTTCCCTAACGTTGTGCCCTCCAGATTGCAGCATAGATAAAGGAATTAAAAGAGTTAAGATCCAATCCGCAAAGTCTAAAGCCAAAACCAGTCCCACCAAGTTGGGGAAGATGGAGCTAATATATATAGGATGATACTAAGAGATCCTAATCAAAAGGACTTTGCTCTAGCATGTTGCGAATATCAGTGTTGCAAAATGAATATGATGGCTTATTATCAAAGTGTCAAGAGGGCTCTTCCTCCCATTGTAGGCAACAGTTGACTGAGGAGGAACTAGAACGCATCGAGGAGGCCTGTGACATGGCCCTAGAGCTGAACCAATCGAAGCACCGCATCTATGAGTATGTGGAATCCCGTATGTCCTTCATTGCCCCAAACCTGTCCATTATTGTTGGGGCCTCTACTGCCGCTAAGATCATGGGTAAGTTGCTGGATCGGGCATCAGGCATGGAAAAATAGGAGTTTTTGACTAGAATGTAGAGTTGTTGGCAGAAAAGGACCTGAAATATGTGGTTTTTAGAGGGAAGTTAAATATTTCTCTTCTAACAAGATGTCATTGTTTAGTTATTAAGAGAACTTATTTTACTCTTATAACTCAGCTTTCCAAACAGTGAGCTGTTTTTGTTTTTCATTTAAAACTGCAGAACCAATGCCCTGTTGAACAGTAAAGACACTTCTGATATATGATTGATTCTGGCAAATCTCCATGGTTGTGGATTAGCTGGGCGCCTTCTTTGTGGATAGCAAGCTCAGCTTCCCAGGGAAAGGCCCTTCTCTGCAAATCTCAACACGCCAGAAATTGGCTGATCAAAAGGCTTGAAGCTTCTTGACTGTTTGATCCTACTGTATGATGTTCACTCTTGGTTTCTTCCTTGATTAAGGCATTGCTGGTGGCCTCACAAACCTTTCCAAGATGCCAGCTTGTAACATCATGCTCCTGGGAGCCCAGAGGAAAACTCTCTCAGGCTTTTCCAGCACTTCTGTGTTACCTCATACTGGCTACATCTATCATAGTGACATTGTACAGTCACTGCCTCCGGTATGTATGTGAACCTGTAGCTCCTTTTCTGATCGGCATGTTCGTGCATGAGGCTTCCAACCACACTAAACCAGCATTGGTTTTTATTCCTTCTTTGTAGGATCTGCGGAGGAAAGCAGCGCGTTTGGTGGCAGCAAAATGCACCCTAGCAGCTCGGGTAGACAGCTTCCACGAGAGTCCTGAAGGGAAGGTGAGGCATGCAGGTCAAGGGCTCTAAGCCACTGGGGTAGCAGGGATAGGAAGCATAAGTCAGACTCCCTGAGACATCTCTAAATGGCTTTGTTTCAGTGAAGATGTGCAGCAAAGCCCTAAGATATGGACCTCTCTCAGAAAGCTTTTTGAGCAAGTTGAGTAGTGGCAGTGATTGCTTTCATGTTTGTAAACGCTTTAGATCAGTGTTTCTCAACCTTAGCCACTTTAAGATGGGTGAACTTCAATTCCCAGCATGGCTGGCTGGGGAATTCTGGGAGTTGAAGTCCACCCATCTAAGTGGCCAAGGCTGAGAAACACTGCTTTAGAGGCTCCATAGAGGCTTAATAAGGAAATGGGTAATTCCCCTAAGGAAGAGGGGATTTAGAACCGATTGTCAAGAGAAGGAAGAAGGGTATCTCTGGGCTGCACATTCTTCTTGTCCCTCTTCTAAGGAACGTAGAGAAGAGCCAAGTTGGCTTTGCCACTCCCGATTATCTCTGCACCAAAACTCTAAGGTAGATCAGATTGAGAGATGCTGGCTGGCTCAAGGTTTTTCCCAGTTTAGGAGTTTTTGAACCTGAGTTTCCAGGTTCTCATGTCACTATTACACTTCCCCGTTTTTGTGAGAAGATGACCATTTTCAGTTTAGCCTAGGGAATGAATCTACTGTGGGAGGGAGGTGAAAGATGAAGTCATTAATTTTTCTGTAGGGAAAGATTGAAAAGATACAGCTAGGCCAAGAGGAGAAGTCTAATAGGCTTGGTTTAGTCTGCGGGGATAAAGTCAGTCTGGTTTTTAGTGTGGCACCCAGTACACAGCCTCTCCAGTTAACAGAGGAAACATAGAAAAAAGTTGAACCTGGGATTTGTCTTAGGGCAGTGTTGTCCAAACTTGGCCACTTTAAGATGAGTGGACTTCAACTCCTAGAATTC